CCAGCTGGTTAGGATTAAACATCTTGCCTGCGGCACCTTTTAAAAGCCTTGAGGCCTGGCATTTTTGACAATGTGATGAACAGTGTACAATTATGTATACCCCATATGTTTAAAATAATCTAGAGTGCCAGAAACACTGTTAAATCCATGTACAGTAGTGATAAGGGTTAGAGGAAAGTTACAGCAGCTATTCTTCAACTTTGAAAGTTACAGCTTAGAATTTCTTTTCTTTACAACAACACACTCATAAAATATTCAACTTAAACACTGACTTTTTCTATGCTTATTTTGTTATTTTAGTACATACAAATTACAAGCCTACTTGCAGAATACTAAGTGCTAGCAAGCACTTCACATCACATAATGAAGATGATCAGAACTTTGCAATTACAGTGTTTGCACAATGAATGCAGTCAGACACTGACCTCACTGTGACCATGCAAGTGAAGTACCTCCCCTAAAGGGAAAAAAAAAAAAAATCCTTAAACACACACTGGTTTGTTCTCAGCTTGCACCAAAACAGACTATAAGATGAATTTTCATGGTAGAGTTCTGTCTAGATTTCAAAATGTGTGGTGGATTAAGCCAACATTTTATTCTGAATTAGTGTTATTCCAGAACCTGGCTCTAAATCCCCTGTCCAAATGAACAAATTCCTGTTTGAAGCACCTCATTTTTTTTTGTCCATCTAACAGAAAGACCCCATAGGTTCTTTCATTATCTGATCAAGTACTTTGGACAGATCTTGAGAGACAGCAAATTCTCCTCTGACGTTGTTTCAGCAAAAACACATGGCAACTTCTGAATTCTGGATAAAAATATAACCCTCTTCAATCACAAGCTAATCTCTGAAAAAGAAAAGAGATCCTTCAAGACAATAGCTGTCAGCTACAGTACTTTTAACACTGTTTAACAGCTGCCATCAGAACACCAACTTGTTTTGCTCATGTGCTACTGTTTCAGGTGTTAAACTACCTAATTAGTTTGAAGACCGGTGTTCAAAGAATGCTCCCCATTATACAAAACATGTTTTTCTAAAAAGTACAAAAAACTGTAGCACGAAAACGTTGTTTACTACACATTCATACTTGCTACCTAGAAATAACCTGAGGATAGCAGTTTTCTGTTACCAGCTTTATGGTTTAGTGTCCTTCAAAAAAGTTGCAGGAACATTTTAAGAAACAAGAAAAAGCGTACAACAACCTTAACCATAATCAAATGCAGTGATTCAGCTCACTAATACTGAATATGTAGCCTTCCAAAATGAGTTTACTGATTTCATGCTGCATTATGAGAATTCCTGTATACATTAAGCAAAAATTTATTAAGAAGGTGCCTAAATTGACTTATAGAGTCCTAAAAGAAAGAATTCTCCAGCTCTTTATGGCTGGATGTAAAAGCCATTTCCTAATATCACCCTCAGGCGCACAGAGTTAAGCACATTAACCATCTTCTAAGAGACTGTTATTTAGAACTTAAATCTGCATTACTGGACCTACAGTACAAGCGAGCTTTTAAAAAAAAAAGCTATCTGAAACGTTTTCTTCCATTTATAGATATGAGACAAGGACCTCAAACTTACTTAAACTCGAGATACGTAAAACCACTGTTGCTTGATTTGTGAACCATGATTGAGTGCACAAAACCAGATGCATTACTTTTGATGCTGCAGCAGGTAGTTTATGGATGTATAAAAAAAGGGGTATATTTTGCTTTGTATTAGAAAATACACTGTCATGGCAGAATATGCAATTATGCAACTGTTGGTGGTATTTTAAGAGCTGATGCCTGCTCCAAGTATAATTTACCCTTCTTAAAGATTTGGAAACTTTTGGATGAATCTTCAGTTCAGCTGAATATTAAAACCACAAAGAAATTTCTTATTGCTTGGAAACTTCCCTCTGTCCAACTCCTTGGAAAAAACCCCAAACCAGCCACCAACCTTACCCTCCAGGTTCTCTCAGCACTATACAAATAATTCCAATTAATTAACAAACGTCACTCTTTAGTCTTTTTTTAGTTCTTTAAGGGATCTACTTAAAGAGATCAACCAAGACACATGAAAAGAAATTACAGTACATGAGTTTGTGATCAAGTACATCAAGTAACAGCAGCTTTTAATGGAAACTCGCCTTCGCTTGCTTTTATCCAATACAAGAATAAACTCAGCATCTGCTTTCAACATTTCACTTAGAACAGGAAACATAATGCAAAAAAAAGTAAATCAATTGTCCTGCCCTGCTGTCTGGCTAGTGATTATGCATAAAATACAAGTCCCTATTATTATAAAGTCAATCTAGACAAACTCTAGACTGGAAGTGTGATGTTTTGAAACTAAATGGGAACTTCAAGTTATCAAGCTAGATTTGAAAATGAGTATTGTTGAAATCAAGACAACACTTCAGATTATACGTTTTAGTGCAAAACAGTAGTCACATTGTTACTCCTGTGGGTCAAAAGGTAAGTATATACATTCAATATACACCAATAACAGACAAGAAGTAACTGTTACTCTTAAGCATCCTCAGCTCTAACCTCTCTACACTTACCAGCCTGAGTAGGCTTCCCTGGGACACCAGGAGGTTTGGCCAGTGCATTGCATTAGATACCTAAGTATGTAGAGTGATTGAGAGTGATGACTACTTACAAATTACCAGTACTATTAGATGATCTGGTTTTATAGTCCTATAGCAGAAACAGCATGCCTCTTAACAATTCCTTTGATATCAGGCAGATCATATATGGAATGCTTAGTTTTGTCAGGCACCACATCATTTCCTATCCAGTTTTGGTTTTATAATTCATGAAAAAGGGATAGAAATTAGGTTGAACTGAACTGCAATTAAAAAAAAATCTCAGGTTGGGGGACAGGATGTCATTCTTGCATAGAGGACATTCTCTATTATAAATCAAGACCTCCATAGAAAGGAAGCATTGAGTGCATCATGCAGTACCAAAACAATTACTTTGTTAATATACAGATTCAGTGGAGCCAAATTTGAGTCTTGTACTGACAATAGTGCCTGGTATCATTAGACAAAGGAATATTTACAGTCAATGCAGTGTGTTATAAAAACAACACTGCAAAAAAAACAGGAACTATCCACAATTATATTGCATTTATTCATAGGGATTTATCCACAATTAGACTGCATTTAACAGTGGAAGGGCCTGTTACTGAAAGCATGGAATCTGAAGCATCAACACCTGGCTTGGGTTACCTCTGGCAAAATTAAGTTAAACAAGAAGTATCCAGCAACTGTGATCTATTTACTTAATAAACTAAATAGCCTTTGTAATCTACCACATCTGATAGAGAGATGTATTTCACATACGACTCCTGGTCAGTCATGGCTATCTGACCCATCTATCCAAGTTTGGGCTTTTACAGTTATTTCTTTCATTCTCCGACTCTAAATATGGGTCCTCCCCCACAGTGGGCGCTGCTCAGTGTACACAAGGACATTTTTATAAGGCTATTTCTAGCTTTTCCACCACTACTTGTTTGTTCGTGCCTGTGAAGAAATGCAAGAATCCAGATACTAGGCCCTAACCTTATTGCACTGGAGAGGCACTTTGTCAGAAAACACGAATCACTTGTCTTGACTTTTCCTTACCTATGCTGCGCACACTGAAGCGGGCATAACATGTAAATTCATTGCAACACATCAGTACTGCATGATGTTTGAAATTATAGCACAAAACCAGGGTAGATATATAAAATCTAATCATCTATACTGGATACAGAATTTTTAAGATGCATTCCACTGTGCAGTTTTAAAGAACAATGACAACGTTGCTTGACAAAAAGTTACTGGAAATAGAAAACGATTTATTTTTCATTTTGTGTCAAGCATGTAAAGTTTATAAAAAGCAACAGAGCTGCAAGGAGCCAAGACAGTCTTTTGAAAGTTCAGGCCACCTAGCCATTACTGCTAATGACACACAAACATTGGCATTTTATGTTCAGTGCTGCTCCCTTCACTCCACTCCCAACATCTTCTGTGAGAAAATTACTTTCATAATTTGCCAAAACCACAAACACAAAATGCTCTTCCATTTAAACAGATAGGACTAGTAAGTAAGAAACAAACTTACTACTCTGGTTCCTGAGGATCGACGTGTTGCTCTAACATTAGAAATGTTCCTTTGGCTGGCAGGAGTTGCCAATGGAAGAGTAGTAGAAAGTTGAGGAGGACTGAAAGACAAAGGTAATCTGGTATCTCCTAATAAGCATTGCGTGGAATTGGAATTTTTATTAGCAAGCTTCTCATTTTTACCATTTCCTGAGTCTACGTTACCAGTCTCTGTTTTCTCCTCATTCTTGATTCTTCTCAAGCAGTCCTTTAGTGTCAGCTGAGTTGCAGGCTGACTCAACCAGCACAAAAAGAGTTCATCCACCTTCATTTTCAGTACAGGTTGCAGAACTTTCCCAGGTGACATTTTCTCCTAGTTTTCCTTTTTGTTGGATCAAATTCAAAATAAAGGTGTGACGATCATCTACTTATTTCACTTGACTTTCAGCGTTTCACAGACTCTAGGGCTCCTGTTAAGAAAAACGCTATTATTTAATCTTATAATTTTAACAAAGTGTTGATCTTTATTCGCTCAAGATACTGTGTTGCAAGATATGTGCTAACATGTGACTACAACAACATTTTGTGAGTGTAAGCCATTAATCAGAGTCAAATACAGAGGCTAAATTCTTCTAAAAGCACACTGTGCAAATGATAGAAACTAGAGAGAAAGCAACTGCACTCAGACTTTCTCAAAGAACTACCTAACAAATATGTTAAAACCCACATATATTATGACAAATAGCCTTGAAAAGACTTATAATTGAACCTTTTAAGAACTAAATGTCCAAGCAGTTTATGAAAAGCCTTGGTGACAGTACATTTAAGACTATGGCGCGCCCCAGCGCTGGCGCCCGACTTCCCCTCGCCCAGCTCAGCCCAGCCCAGCGCAGCTTCTGCCGCCGTGTCGGTGCCTTTCTCGGGGCCGGAGCAGCGGCGAAGCATCGCTCGGTGAGGGGCGGAGCGCTCGGGCGGGTCGGTCGGGCCTCCCGCCCCGAAAATTGTGTGGTAGTGGATAATGAGGCTGGTGCCCTGCTCTCCGGGTGTGGGCGCGGGGATTGCGCTGCCTGCCCGTGTCGCCAGGGCCTCAGGGCCTCCCCAGGGCCGCCACTTGTGTTGCATTTGCCGTCCCAGGACCTCGGTGTCCGACCTGAGGCTCCCGAACTGCTCCTCGCTGGCTGGTTTTCTGAGAGGAGAAACTGGCAGAGTACATGAGCTTACCTTTGCTGGTTCCAGTTGCTAAACGCTGTTCAGGGAGAACACAAAACACTGTGTCTATACAAACAATTGCGGTGGTTGCCACGAGGGTTACAGGATTACTTATAAATGATAGAATGAAAGGGGAAGCGGTGGCAGTAGCAAATAAAGAAGTTACCCCTTATGAAGAGAACAATGTGTGCCAACATGTTTGCATCCCCTTTTTGCACTGGGTAGCATACACTGGAAATTGCCAGCCTTCATGGGCACCGCTGCGAGTCTCTCTGGGTGCACTCATCAATGGGTGTTACATAGCTGAGCCTTGCCCCATGTAATTCTTTTTCACTATGCTGTGTTTTCCTCATGTGGCTACACTGCACTTTTGTTTATTAATTTTACGGTCTTCCCCTTCTTTTACCATGAGAGACACTCCAGATTTATGATGGGTTATATTACAGATCCTTGGAATGTTACTACTGTGCCACTGAGGCTGTGCCAGAGATGCATGCCACAGCAGTTTGAAGGGAAGGCCTAAAAATGCAAACAAGATTAAAACAGGGTAAGTGGGAGAATGGGCTTGCTTTCTCATTTCTAGGGTCTTGGAGAGAGGATGCGGAGATAATGGGCTGAGGAGAAGGAAAAGACCAGATGCCGTGGGAGAGATCTGGCACAGTTCAACACAATTCTATTTTGACAATAGAAATAGTATCTTCTGGCAAAAAAAGGTGTTCTTATAAGCACGTCAGAGGGCTTTGACTTAATGCTGGAGACACTGAAATATATTTTCACAAGTCTTAAAATGAGATTATGTATTCAAGAAAACCTGTAGAGTGTTGCAAGTTTTTGAAGGAGACTCCACTTTTCAAAGCAGAGTAGTACTCTGTTTTCTGCCCATTGGTTGGTGAAGTTTAGAAAATATGCTTTTAGAAAACCAAAGGGGACAAAATGGCATTACTTTAAACTGGAGTAAAGCATTCAACATAACAGAGAGAAAACAGATGTCGAAGTATGGATAAATCTGTAAAGATTACGGAAGTAACTTTAAAGCAGGGGAAAAGAAAAAGAAAACCCAGTGTTATGGATAGCAGCAAGATTTCTGGCCGAGAACTGAAGGACTGAATTAAGAAGACTGATAGCAGAGCCACAGACATGGAACAAAGCAGACTTTTAAAACATTTTGAATGCCTTTGAAGCATTCCTTAGTGATGGTGTAGCCATCTGTTGATTGACATGTTGAAGACAGGTGGCAAGAGGGGATCAGAGAGTGAGTTGACAGAGTTGTAGAGTTGGATATCATCTGCATGGAGATGATGCCCTTTGTTGAAACTGGCAATGAGATCTCCCTGAGGAACGAGAGAAATAAGAATAAAGAAATGAAAAAAAACCCTGAAAAATACACACAGTCGCAATATTCTCTCGTGTATGCTAGTGTATATTTAAAGCACTTCTAATTCTGACTTTACTGGAGTTTGTCATGATTAACACTGGTATGAGAGAGGAATCGGTTCTGTATGTCTTCTGTTAAATAGATAGTGCTTTGGGCATCACTGGCAGCTGACAGGAATAGTTTGAACATGTCTCTGAATGGATCATGTCTACTCAGCAGTCATCATCTACTGCTAGAGGTATGTGTTTGTAGAGATACAGGAGCCCAAACTTGAGCAAAAGAGAAAGAATACCTAAATTGAACCTCTTTGTTCAGATCCTCCACCAAGAATTGAAACTTGAAATTCCTTTTTGACTGCTATTTCCATGTTCTTGCTGGCATGGTAACTACAGAAGCTGTACCTTTTCTATGCTTCTTTCAGTGTGTGGAAAACAGAAATATGTTCTAATGTGTTACAATTTATGTGAAATGTATCTATCTAAGGATGAACTCCTTTAAAAGTCCATTGAATAATTATTAAATATAAAACTACCAACTGTGCAATATCCAGCTGATACCTTAAAGTGATGGGGTCACACTTAGCATTGTTGTAAAAGATAAGACTCCACTTTAGATAAGGCAGGGGTTTGTTTAACAACTGCATTGGTGTAATTCAGACCAATTAATAATAGGAGTGCTTGGGCCTAACTACACAGTGCAGTGGAGTTAGTAGACCCACACTAGTGTGTCCACATAGCACAGTACCTCCCTCTGTGTAGTGTGTGGAGGTACTAACCCCAGTGCAGAAACCAAAGAGCTACACTGGCTCCCAGTTCTTGTATGCAACAGAGCCAACAGATCGTTTCTGACCTTCTATTACTGGTCTTAACACACGAGGTGATATTAGCAGTACTGGCAGTACCTACACTAATGGCTACATATCAAAGTCCTTCTGTGCCTTTATTTGTCACTGTTACGGTGACACAGGGCAGTAGTGTTCATTGGGAATGCACACATGCCCAGTCAGCATTTTTCAGCAAGCGCTGGGCTTCTTCCCTGAATAACCTTGGGTATGTACAGCTTAGACATATGGGTATGAAAGAGCTGTCTCCACTCCCTCTGCACTTGGTGGGAGTAAAACAGCATTTCTAAGGCCTGATTACTGTTACCCTGAGGTAGACATCTAACTTAGGTCAGATGTTTCATGACTTAAAAGTGTCTGTTCCCTTCCACTGATTAATAAGAATCTCAACTGGTATCTGAGGTATACACAACCACATGTTAGAAGTCTAAAGTTAGGTAGTATAAATGTGTTTGCAGTATTCTGTTTACCTGGTTGCATAGGGCTGTGTTGGATGTAGTCCATCCGGTCTCAGAAGTAGAGTCGTCATCATTCCGCAGAGTGTGACGTTGAGATGGAACACATGCTTGAGATTAAAATTAAAAAAAAAAGTACTTGAGATCACTGCAGGATCTTTATGAGCCCTGATTCTAGAGGTTTTCATATGCTTGTCACATAGTGAGGAGAATTACTCTACCTCCTTAGGATGTTGCTTTAAGGAGAATATTGCATTTTGATCAGGCTTCTTAAAATGCTTTTGCTGGCACATTTCACAAATTTCAAATTTAGGCATCTGAAGTTTGGTTCTAACCTATATATAAGCACTAAAATAACTGTGTCCCAATTTCCTAATGTGCTAACTTAGTTGGGAGCAAGTGTGCTGAATATCTCTGACAAGCTGGTCACTTTTATTTAAGTTGCTGTAATTGAAAATTTTGGCCAGAAAGGCTCATTGAGGTTGCAATGCCAAGGTGATATTCCTTGTAAACCTGCTTATGGTGTGCAGTCAGAGAGACTTTGGGAGAGTATAAATGTTTCTTTCCAGTTAGTGAAAGATAAAGTCTAGCATTCTGTCACTCAAACAAAAATTGCTAGTCCTGGTACTACTGGGGGTGGGTGCGAAATGAAGAGGACTTTGGGTTCCTTATGCAGCTTCAAACTGAAAGGAAAGGCTAAGAAGATGGTAATGACTGGGAATCCCTTAAACTATGCAACCATACCAGCTAACCATGCCACTTCATCCTTTCTTTCAGCAGCTTACCAAAAATAGAGCTAGGATGGTGAACTACAAGTCATATGGCCTCCAGAAGTAGCATCATATGCAGACAAAGAAATGTCAGCAACGCTGACTTGGTGCACATGTTCGGCAGCCAGCAATTCTCTCAGAAGAGTCTGATACTGAGACTTTGAGGCTTGAATTTTCTCTGTCACCTACCACTTTGAGGTGGAATACTGCACTGATATAGGATCTGGTTAATAGCTTGCTGATGCGCAAGTCAGAGGTATGATTACAGATTGCTTTGTAACTTGCCAGCTTGTGTCATGAGTACAGGCATTTAAACATTCTGTACTTGCAGACACATTTTATTTCCTCCTTATCAAACTGTGTAGTTAGACTAAGGTCTTGTCACTGGCTATCTCTTGACACGAACAGTTGGTTCAGTGTAGGAATATTTAATTCTGCAAGAAAAAAAGATACTATAAAATGTAGATGCTATAACAGCAGGTGCACAACAAGCCAAAGAAGAAAATTGGTTCAGCAGTTGTTTGCCATCATGGTTTTAGATTAATTCCTACTGCATATCACTACAGAGTTAGCAGTGAACATATCTTGTGCATTTTACTGAATTACTCTCAGTGTATTGTTTTTTTTCCCACAGGGACCTTGGATTGGGCAATGTTTACAGCAGTCCAGATGTGAAGGCTGGTGCCTCATTAAGTCACCCTGATCTTCTAATCCCAGGTTCACATATTTCTAGTGCTGTATTTTATCCGATGGTTTTATCTAGCATTGTATCCAGGTCACACGGAGTTTATGGAAAACTGCTTGAAATGCAGTCTCTAGGGTGGTGTTTAACAAGGTGTGCATGAGGATGTTTATGGGCTGTGAGAATGGGAGTCTATTCATTCTCCACGCTGAGTGTTACTGAGCCCAGTTTTCTTCTAACCTTGTCCTGGTGCAGTCATTAAAGGGGAGAGGAGATTCTGAGCTATTGTATTCAGCAGCCTGCAGTGCCTGCCAGCTACCTGTCTGCTACCATACTGTAAACCACGCCCGGGTGCTTAGCTCCTGGATCTCCATCACCTGGCTAAGATCCAGTCTGAAGAACTGAGACCTAAACTCGGTGTTTTGTGATAGAATACACATTTCTCAGAGTTTCATCAGAGCAGTCTTCATCAGATTATCAAGGGGGCAGTGTAAAACATATAGTCTCTTTTTCTACTTTGACAGTTGTAAAGAAATGTAAATCTTGCAATGGCCATGTATATTTTTATCACATGGCACCCAGTTTCTGAAATAACATGTATATTTCTAGGGCATGGTCTTTGAATATCTATGTACATACATACATATATTAAATGGAAACTGCAGTAAACCACAGGATTCTGCTAGCTACTGGTGCTCTAATAACTCACTGAAGTAAAAATAATTAACATAGTTAATCGTTGAATTACAACACAATGAGAAGCACACACCTAATAAATCACATTTTTCCATTATTATCTGTTAAGCATCTGGCTGCATGACTAGTATTTTACAACTTTGGTTAAATTCATCTTGTGTTCTTCAAAGCCAGTAGCAAAATTTCCAGTTTCCATAATACTATGGGATCAGACACCTATGCTGAGGGGGTTTTATTTCACCATTGCATTGCTCCAGTTATAAGATCTGACCTGCGATTTGACTGCTATTTTCATTCAGAAAAACTAAAAGATTAATTATTTCTAAATTTATGAGCTAATTACTACACTAATACAAACCACATTTATCATTTCCCCGAGTTTGCTTAATCCTTCTTCATTACAGAAGTCAGTTCAGATGTCCATAAAAGCTTACAGGAAGAAAAAAAAGAAAAGTATTTGTTTTCATTTTCATTAAGGAAAAGTGAAAATTCCAAAAGATTTTGGGCAGACAGAGCCACATTCTTTTGCTCTCATTAGAGTCCTTATAGTTACAGTAGTTAGAGGAGGAAAACACTGTGCAGCTCTAAGCATGTGTCTGCAAGGTTGCCAACACCAATAATTTTATCACAAGTTTAATAAGATTTAGTGTTTTTCTTATAAAGCTCCAGCTCCAGAGTCCCATGGTTATGAAATAATATTATCTTCCATTGAATGTGTATGTTAAAAAGAGCCCTTGTGGTTGCAAAGAAAGTCTTGGAAATATAAAATTAATAGCTTAAAAATTCTAGTTAAAAAAAGCATGAGTGCCATATTCATTTCATTAAAATCAAGATTTTAGAAGAAATCTCAAATTTTGAGAAGTGTTTATTAATCTAAATATTGTGTCAGTAGTGACACTAATTCCAGTGGTATTGCTCTTTAAGTATTTTTGTCTAGGATTTGGTGCTGCATTCTTGATATTCTTTTCCTACTCGAGAAACTTAGTTTAAGACAGAAAAAAGCCTACACGTTTTTATGATTTAAATGCATTAGAGCACTGAGACTTAGGGTTAAGAGTTGGTTACATATTTTAGATATTGGAGCCAGACAGCAATTCAGTCTAATAATGTGCATGTCTACTATTTCCTGAAAATTTGCTGGTACATGACCCCTTATATGCGTATATGTGACCTTACAACAAACTCTCTTATGTGGTGCCAAAAAATGGCATTAGCTTCAGCTGCTTTATTAAATTGCTACCCAAGCTGGCTTACATTCACAGTGAACAAGACATAGCGTATCAGCAACTAACGCGTAGTGTGCCAGCTAACATGGGAGCTCCTGCTCCCCACCGTGTTCGCTGGGGTTGGTGTACAGAGGAAGAACAAAAGCCCTTTGAATGCTGGGACAGAGTGTTTTGTGCACTGTCACAATGATGTTTGTCCTTCTCTCTGAAGAAGGTGCTTGAGGCACACTACTGAATGGCTACCTTGAGCCAAGTTACTCCTTTTAAGAGCCCCCAACTCCCCCAGTTGTCAGTGAGACAGCGTACCCAACAGACAAGTAGTCTGGCTTTTAAGAAGCACTTATCAAATAGACTGCAGCTGCAATGGACTATACTGTTCCCAACTAAATATTCTGTCCCAGAGACAAGGTTAGAGAAATAGTCCCTGTAATTAATGTTTAGCTTTTAATATTATCAGCTGAAAAGAGAAATGAATGTGACAGCAGTCAGCAACTGCCAAGATATAGATCCAATACTGGACTATTATGGAAATGAGAAAAGTGGAAGCTGAAAGATGACAAAGCTTGCATAATGTCTCACATGATCCTGGGGAAAATAATTGAGGCTAAGGAATATAATTTGAATGTATGGGGAGCATTTGCAGGGGCTAAATTTATCTGGGTGATGCAGACTTCTCTGGGCTTGAGCTGGGTTCCTGATCCGAATCGCCCTGTAGAAGAGCCTGTAGGTATCCCTTGGTTGTGAAAGTTCCCCCGTGGGGTTTAGTGTCCACACACTAATATGGCCTTTGGGAATAGTCCCCATGGTAACATGAAACCAGATTATATTAGTATTTTAATGCTGGCGTTTCCTGACTTTTAAGTGCCTCCTCACGTAGTCTTACTGTCCTGACTCCGTACCTAGCCCTTTTAAAAAGAAGGGTACTAAGAAGTCTTCTGGAAGGATCAAGATCAAATGCAACTTTTCAATGAAATTAAAACATTTTTCTAATTTTCCTTTCATACTATGTTGTATAAATTTCTGTCATGTGTGTCTTACACTTTTTGTATTCCCACAGAGGTGTTCACAAAAGAAGTTCCAAATAAATATCAACAGAAGTAAGCACATGCAGCCAATGTCAGTGTTCTGGACCTTGAAATGCAGCTAGTAGGTTAGTAAGAAGTATGAGCTTGTTTCCCACCCTGTTCAGGACAGAGTGCAAGCTTCTACTTGAAGTACTTCAAAATCAGATGCTTAAATTCTTTTTTGTGTTTCTGATTACGTAAAACACCCCACACTTTATTCCTTTGTGTATCCGTTTGCTATCTGTTCACTTGAACTTGTAAAATAATGCATTTTAATGACTTCTGTTCCTACTGGACCTGAAGGGATAAGGGATCTGGCAACAGTAACTGGGCTCTCTTTTCTTACTCATCTGTGTACCTGTTACTGGCTTCCATTGCAGAATTACCCTTACACCAATACAGTGAATGATACTGTCTAATGTTTGGTTACTAAATTGCTCTTGCAGGGCTAGGTTGGAAAACTGCAATCTTTTTTTTTTTTTTTTTTTTTTTTTTTTTTTTTTTCTTTTATCTGTGGCTTGACTGAAATGAGTATTTTTGTGTGTCTCTCTAGCTTTACCTCTTCCATGATTCTGCTGGTGGATCACAAGTTACTGTTCTTGCTAGCATTCACCATTTCCTGCCAATGTTTCTTAATTTGGAAGAGTTAGTTTGATATTAAGAGCTTCCACTTGTAAATGTTTCTAATGTAGCCATTATCCTTGATAGTCTGAGCACTTACCCTGTTCCTGAGAGTGCTGCTGTGCATGCTTTTTCCACATGTCTCACACCCCATCTTTACCCTGTGGCTGTGAAACTACACAAGCTGTTAAGGTAAACTCCATTGACACGTTACTTAGAAAAAATAAATGCCCAGTGAGCATGCCCAGCATCATGCAGAGCTCTGTGTTTCGAAGTAGGAAGCTTGAGTCTGAGCACTGTCCCTGTGAGCTGCTTGTGATGTGTAGGAAGGAAGGATGTTCCCCGCCAGTTGTGAAGGCCACCTCATGTCTGGGAGTGTGAGGAAGTTACTCGGAAGGGGAGTTCCCCTCGTCAGCCTGGCCCAGATAGTCTCGTGGCTGTGCACCAGGTGTGTGTCTGTGAGGTGAGAGCACCAACATGGAGGAGTCATCCTCCCCTTTTGCACAAGTTACAGTCAGTAAAGGCAGCCTCAGACTATATTTTTAACACAATGCCTTAACGTTTAGGTTGATGCATTGCAGTTTTAATTGAATGCTAGTTGTGCTTACAGTTAAGGATTCCTTGTGACTTAAATACTCCAAATAAATAGAAAAGAAATACCTGTAATAGTATATTTAAAAAACAGGATAATTCCATTCATCTGTAGAAGGGAAGAAGAGAACTGTTAATGGAATTTTTAAACCAAACATTTATGCAGCATCTTGTCCAAGTGTCCAAACATGCTGCCTCAGTAAGGTGGTGCCAAGCTGAAGTTGTTCAAATCAATTGTTTTGGGGTTGAACTTCAAAACCATCAAGACAGTTCCAAAATGAAACTGGTAGTCCTTTGTAAATAATGAGATACTTGATAATGTTCCTTGACAAAATATTTGGGGATGGAAATTAAGCATTACAGTAGTTTAGTATATCAAATGACTTGAAGTGGTTAAAAAGGCCATGTTTCTTTCTCTAATAGCATTTAAAAACATATTAAAAGGCTTCAATGAGCTGGAATTGAACATTGCAGGTACATACTGGGAACAGATCTGGTTTTCCCCCAGTTTTGTACTCATTCATTTGAGCACTCTTGGGAAGATGCCCGCGTTTTTACTCAACGGTGGCTGCTTTTTACATGTTCTAACCTACATAAATTCTTAATGTTTTACTATATTTTTTTGCAATGGTGATGTTATTGGTTAGGTAATAAGAAAAAGCTCTGGTTCTACCGTGTAATATGCATTTTTTGCACCTTATGAGAATATTGAATAGACTTCATTATTTTTTTCAATACAAGCCTGAATTCTACCATTTGATTACCTGAACCAAAAGCATTTCAATTTGCCATCCATCACCCTGACCAGTGTAAAATGCTGAATATTCAGATTAAATTGGAACTTTTTTTCTATGAATAAGGAATTTGATTCAATTCTATAATATACAGTGTCTCTGGGGAGAGGAAATTGAGCTGAAGGTCGCTGAAGGCAAGTGAGAAAATTGTATTATCCAAATACAAAATTCTTTTTCTTATCATCAAAACCTGAAATACAGCCATGGGGAATAAGGGGGTCAAGAGAGAATTCAATTAGAGATGAAAATGGAAAAGGTGCATTTTTCAACTTACCTTTCATTTTTCCAAACAAGTGGCAGCAGTGAGCTTTATGAAGACAATGAAATATTTGTCAAGCAGTTTAAACTTTTTTTTTTTTTTACTATAAATCAGAAAACATTCTCAATCATTTATAAAGAGATAGTAAAAGTCCATCTGAACATGGAGTGACCAGTTCTTCGTAGCCTTAACTATTGTGATTTTGATTTATAATCAACAGTGCAGAAGAGATAATGAATACCTAATTGCAGCAATTTATATGGGTAAAGTTGTCTTGTTAAGAAAGAACAGTTCTCAAATATTTATAATCAGTTTCCCCTCTAAGACAGTTTGTGATAGCAATTTCTGCACTTTTCCCTCCTCAACTCATAATGTTGAATGATAAATGTTCAAAATAATCGTAGAAGCATGGTGGTGTGATGCCATAGAAATGTTTGCTTTTCTCCCTATTTATTTTAGTGTAGACACTTATAAAATAAACCAGATCCTGTCCAATGTGGCCACCTCTGAAATGTTAGCAATTACAGATACAGGCCGTGATTTGGCAAAGAGCTTAGTTGTCAGCTGCATGACTGGTGTTGCTGCTGCCAGTGCACTTGCATCCGCAGGATAGGTTTCTTCTTGTTAAAGGCATTTGAGCTAATGCTGAGGCTTAGAGGAAAGAAGATTTCCAGTGAGACCCTAGAATGCTAATCTATTTAGCTACTTCCTAAACTTGCTGTGTAAATTACACAGTGATTTACAAAATTATCTTGAGATAGCTCAGGAGTTCTTATTCTGTGTCTGTACTTGCTGGTTTTGTTTGCAGTCATTTCTTGGAAAGAACAAATGTTCTTTCTGTAAATTGGTATTTACAGAAACCTTTCTATATTTAGTAGGTGATAATTTTTAATAGTTTATCATTACATAACCATTTATAGTCTTGTCTAGTTAGAATAGATGGGACCATATATAACCAAACTTTCAAATATATTTTAAATCTAAGGAGCACTTCATTAGTACTGTAAGTACCAGTTCTGAATTTGGGTTGGATCCAATATCAGCTAGAATTTAATTAAAGTTTTCTCATATTTTGTGAAATGTAATTGAAAATATTGTTATTCTTGAAGCCAAGTGCAGTCGTCTCTGAGATATAACCTGAAAGGCAAATCTTCAAATTCAGTGTAATAACCTGAATCTGAACATTGCCTTTTTGGTGTACTTGTAATACTGTATAATTATTAGAAGTATATTATATTGACTATGAAGCTATTTTGCCTTTCAATAAAATAGTCTTTTTAAAAACTGAAATTAGTGATCACAACCTTCATTCTTTATTGGTGTAAGGATTGTACATGTAGATGTGTAGATATACATGTAGCCTTTTGCTGCTTTGTGGCATATGTACTCGCTATGGTTAGGAAGCAGAAACAATGATGTGGTACTCAGCACATCTTTGAATGCATGTCAGAGTTCATAGAGATGAATAATTTTCCCTCATGTTCAGAAGTCCTTTGGAACACATGGCCCAAACCTTCGCCAAAGTGGCCTTTTCTTGTTCTACGGGACAGAAATCCCCATTCTTGGATTTTTTTTGTAAAACAAAATTATGTTTCAATTTATTTAATTGAAAGTATAGTGGGTTGTGTTATAGACTCTGAAATGAGCTGGAATTAAATTATTTCAGTGGGAATTCATTTTCTGTACATTTTTTTAAGATCTTACTATGCACTTGTCTGTATTTTTAAGTGCCAGAACATCTCTGTAAGCCTAGTGCCTAATAGATTCACTCGTTTTCAGTGGAAGTGAAAGGGCTCTTCTGTTCAGATTGGATTGCAAGATTGGGGTCTTTGTAAAATAAAATTCCTACTAGATGGATCAGGAGTGTCTGCATGTTGCTTATATAGATATTTGAATAATTTCTCTTTTTTTTTTTAAAAAAAAAAAGTGACAAAGAGTTTTTTTTTATTTCAGACCTAATGAAATAAGACTTACTTTAATTTTCTTTTCAACCTATCACAGGAACAAGAATTTCATGTACAGTTGCTGAATTTTTTAAAGTGAAGGAAAAAGGACATTACATAGGTAAGTTTATTCAGTCTGGTTCTATTTGAATCTACGAATCTACTGAACTTCCTCCTATTTGACAAAATGTAAAATTAATGTTTTTGGAATCTGGGGACTTCAATAACCTAAGAAAATTAAAAAATAAAGTGAGTTTTACTGAACTGAACTGAAATAGGTTGTTAGAAGAAAATCAGCCTCTGGTAAAGGGAAGGGAAGAAAATGATGAAGAGAAATCACATTGACAAAAACCTCAAACATGGAAACAAGTAGGTCAAAAGAGTTGTTCAGAACAATATACCTTTGGAGTATATATTATCAAAAGCACCATTAATTCTTTAGGCAGAAAGACACCTGAGATCAAACAAATGCAAATTTATAACTAACCATTAAACAGCTGCTTGGGTGATGGGAACAAAAGAAAACATACACACTGCAGAAAATGAAACCAAGTGATTATTAGAATTAAAAGAAATTATACCAAAATAATATCAAAATAAATGTAAAATAAAATAAATGCAATTAGTATTTCAAAGCAAACTTAAGCCTCAGTGATTGGGAATAGAGTTCTATGGGGTAGAGCTTCTGAAGAAATTTGATGGTTAAATCCTAAAATATGGGAAAGAGAATTAAGACCAATATCAACCACCAGGACTATAGAGAGAAACTTCATTTTTTTAACTAAGTTTGATGAACTGTGGACTGCTGGAGAATGCAGCAAAATGAAGGTTATGTGGTAAAGCAACAGTCGAACAGGGACATCATGGAGTATACACATACA